AGGAGCTGCCAGCAGGTGTCGGGTGACCACTGTGCTAGGACACTTGCTCAGCTCCAGCTTTTCAGGGAGTGCGACAAGTTAATTTAACTCTGTGCATAAGCAGAACTCAGGTCAGAGGTGACACATCTGGTCACACAGAGTTTTGGGACAAAAGATTGAAGAAATTCAGGTTTAACTGAAAAAAAAAATATGAGGCCAATATAAAGCATCTCTGGAAACTGCTACACGATGGTCAAACTGAGTCCTAAGCGAAGGCACGAAAACGACGTACGACTGTGATTTTAAAATGCCGGTACAGAAGCATGGAGGCCTGCAGTGGTCGCTCTACTTCTAAAATCACATGTTTATAGAATGGCAAAGAACTCGGTCTTTCTCAGTGTTTAAAATCCTGTTTAATTGTTTTACTTCATAAAAATAGAATCAAATAAATCAATATCTCGTATTTGGAAGAAAAAAAAATCAAGGACACTGACTTCTAAATGTGTTGTGTTCCCGTCTAGGACCAGTGGGGAAAGACAAAAAGGAAGGGCCACTTCATTTTTCACGGACTGATCTGGAAGGCAAGATCCTGCTGCTCTCTCACTCCTGTTCTGTGAGAGGGAAAAATGGGAGTCGAACACTTGGACTTAGTACAGCCCACCCCACAGCCATGATTTCCCTTTCTCTGGCTCCCAGCACTGCTACATCTTTTAGGTCCTTTCCTAGAATGCTCTCTGCTTGGGGCCACGGCAAATGTAGCCTGATTCACTTCTTTTTCCTGCTCCAGGTCCAAGCCTGTCTGCTGGGTCCCCTGAGTCTACTGAAGTAGAGCATGTCTTCTCCCCTCAGACGTTCCGCAGAGCAGAGAGTGGTGGAGGGCAATTCACTCGTATAATTGGCTCAAGAGATGAAAATCTTGCATCGGCCTCTCTTAGCCACTAATCTATCCAGCTGACTGCAAGCCTAATTGGCAGCTTGTTGAGTAATTTGGCTCCTAAAGCGTTGTATTGATGTTGGATCAACATCCAGTGGAAGGGGAGGTGACAGGCTGCCTCCCATATAACAGCAAGCATGTGCCTGTCCTGTTCCTGCTTCTGTCCTGTTCAGAAGGCATTTATTAGTTCTTCCTCCTTATTTCCAGTCCCTTTGCTAGCCAGCAGAGGGTCAGGGCTATTATTAGCTATGTTATCAAAACTGTGAGTTGTAATTATGTTCTTGGTATCTACTTTAGGGACAAAAAGTGAGAATATGGTTAAGTGTTACTACTGTTTATCAAATGCTTCAATTATTTGACCTGTAATATTACACATATATTTCATGTAAATAAAATCAATCTAACTGGGTCCTTAATGATATATATTTCACTTATTTGCTTTTTATTTTATTTTACTCTGAGGTGCTGAGGATGGAACACAGGGCCTTGGTAATGTTCACACACACACACACTTATTTGCTTTTTATTTTATTTTACTCTGAGGTGCTGAGGATGGAACACAGGGCCTTGGTAATGTTCACACACACACACACACACACACACACAGGGCCTTGGTAATGTTCACACACACTCAGCCATTGAGTGTGCTATGCAGTCTTGCACTTATGTTTTAAACAATGAAAATTACTTAGGTTTAAGTGAAAATAGAATGTAAAGGCAGTTTCTTTTCTTAAATGATGAAACCCCAAATGACATAATGGTCTTTTATTGTGTTTGGAGAAGTGTTCTTTGTAATAAAGGTTTAGGTTATACCAAACAAAACTGGCCAGGCAACAGTAACTGCAAAGAGCACCTAACTTAGTGCGGGAGAGTGTGAGACACCTGAGCAGAGTTGGCACCACATCTCCACAAAAGTAGCTAATGTTTGCCATCAAGCCCTTCAAAATCTGGGACTTCTACCACAACTATGACTAAGCCAACACTGCTGACTCCCTGTAAGAACTGTGACAATGTCCTTCCTCTGTCACTCTCTGCTTTTCTTCCCCTTTACAGACGACACTTTTCAGACTATAAAATGCACTCTGCTGGCAAGCTCTTGCTTCAGTACCTCCTCAATTTTACAATAGTAAATCTACATCCTTTGCTGGAGACACACACTGGCTTTGGTATATGACTTTGAAGGAGGCAGAGAACAAGCCATACATTAAAAAAGTCAATATCTAAGCATATCAATATTCATTTTACATTGTCAATACTGAATACAAAGGTGAAAGAGCAGAAAATAAGCTAAAGTACTGAAATAAATTCAGTGTTCCTGTCAAAATTAATAAATGTGCAACCAATACCACATGGCTGGCTGGTGCAGCCTTCTAAAGAGACTGAATTCTGCTCAGCACATAGGACTGGGGATTTTCTCCACTTTAGCGGCACCACAGTCAGATGTGGGGTTTAATTTCAGACGGGGTTCAGAATGTCTTACAGACATTACCATTTATCATGAATATATTAGACAATTGTTCATGCTGAGAGCCATCAACTTAGACAGATCCAATGTGGGGTGGCAAATTAAAAGTTTCTAATTATACATTTCCAGTAAGATTTTGCTAAGTCCTTTCTATATCTGCTATTTGTTTTCATAATAAATTATGGAGAAATCAGAATCATAAGCAATATCCATCTGTTCATCTCTTGATTCTTCCTATTTCATATGAGGAGGAGTTTTCTTTTGAATTTTCCTCATTTAGATTCAATGCTGACTACAAGAAAGTAACATGAGGGTGTACGTCAGGGAAGTGTGTCTTTTGGAAGGTCTGCAAGGACCTGTGAACGCAGCAAGAACATACATGTGTGTATGTGTGTATGCATGTGCAAATAGGCCAGAGGAGGTCTTCGTGTCCCACTCTGTTACTCTCTACCTTAGTGCCACGAGGCCCTGTTCCATGAACCTGGAGTGAGGCTGGTGCCAGCCAAGCCCTCGTGACCTATCTCTGGTCTCTGTCCCCTGCAGCATGGGAGTACCGGCACTCTTGGATGGCTCTAGCCTTTTGGGTGGCTGCTGGGTATGTGAACTCAGGTCCTCGGAGCTGCACAGCGTGCTCTCACCCACGGAGCCACTTCTCCAGCCCTAGAAGACTTCTTCAAGAGGAATTCTAACGGCCAGTACAGTCTCAAATGTACAGATGCAATGGACTCTGTATCCTTTGACTAACTCTATTCCAGGTTTGAAAACAGCAATTTGCATGGACAGGGCGATGTCCCATGTCTAACCTCACCGTCCAAGTGTATTTATGCAATGGCTTCTCTGACTGCATCCAGATAAGCACCTTCACTCAGGTCTCTTGAAACTAAGAACTTGCCCCAAATATCTGCATTTCTTCCTCTCTGAAAGGAACCGCTGCACACAGGTTTGAAAATACACTAAAATGAGTGGCATACCATTTTAGCAACCAAAAAACAAACCAACAAAAAAACAATAACAATGACAAAACCCACCACATTAAATGCCTGTGAATTTTATTTCATAAGCTAAAGTCTAATAGTAAAATGAAAACCTCAAATCTTAAAAGGTCTCAACAGACTTGTACTACAGTATCTGGAATATGCTGGCACAAGCTTAGCACAGGCTTATGAACAAAGGACTGTTTTAGGCTGAGGTTAAGGTTTACATCTAAATTCTCCATAAATGGTTCCCTCTGATGCCCTGAGCTCTGAGTCAAAATCTGATACACAAAAAACTATGTAACCCCTACTTCAAGCACCTGCTGTTCCCCACTTCACACAGGTGCTTCATGTCAGGGCCTGGCCAGTCTTCTGCTTTGTTACTGTGGCCACTAGCATGGCCCACTACATGGGACCACTAGCAACATTTCTAGAACATGTTCTTCTGTGGCTTCTGCCACTGAGCTCAGAGTTCACTGGGAATGGGTCAGTGAGGAATCCTGTCCCAGCCTTAGGAGAGACTGGAAGATCTTATCACATCTATTCGACCTAAAATGTGGCTGTATTTCCTTATGGATAGATATTTTATATTACAAGTATTTCATGAACATTCTACATTTCTTTGTAGAAATAGCTAATGCATCTTCTATAAATTTCAGACACATAATTGGGTTCAAGTCAGTATATGCAATAGAGAGGTCTTTTTCATTCATTTTATATTAGTGTATGCTTAATTGTATAAAATAAAAGGTTTGCTATGATATCTTTATTGTTGCATATGATGTGTTTTGATGGGATCTGTTCTCCTATTACTCCACCCCCCATCCCATAGTCCTTTCTTCTTCTGGGACATGATACTTTTGATAACTAGATGATAATTGTGACATGTGTGGCCTATCTAGCTTTTTTATCTGACCTTTGCCAGGGATATCCTAGGCACCATCTCTTAATGTAAAAAAAAAGGACAAATATTTTCATAATATTCTGTAAGTTCACTTACATAGTATGCAGGAGAGTTCTAATTAGAGCATGGCTGCTGAGGCCATATGTACACTACTGAACTGTACCAACGCCATGCACCATATTCAAGCCCCGGCTTCTGTCTGGAAGGGCAGGCAGGTTATTTCAGAAAGGAAGAGATGGGTAGGAAGTAAAATGGAGGAACAAAAGCAAAAGGAGGTCTTCATATATCCTCAAAATATGTACACTCTCAGGATGCTGAGGGCACTGCCATGAAAAAAGCAGGCTGTAGCAGTTACACCGTGACCACCCTATAACTACCACTCAGGTCTAGTAATTACATGGTCTTAGATAGTGAGCCATTCATCATTTCATCTGCTTATTCCCTGCTTCCCTTACAAGTCTGAAATTTCTTCAGGCCAGCCAAAGACACAGCTTTGGAGGTTTTTATCTTTGCTGTGTCTTACCCATTTGGGTGTGTGCACAGCACATGTCTCACTGAGTAGCTACTTACAAGGTCCACACAACGAACAGACTATACATCCTAACGTAAAGGCAAATGACCTGCGTTACAATTTCTTGCAACCATGCCTTTCTTGCAGCAAGAGTGATTACCGATCGCCTATGTTTTATTCGTGGTGATTTATGTGGTTGGAATCTGTGTTCTGCTCCACCCGCTTTGTTTTACCTGCTGTAGTGGGTCCAGGCAAAGGGGCAGCTTTTCTTCTCCTTTTGATGTCTCCTGTGCACAAGGATCCTAAATGCATGCTTGTTTGCCTACAAGTAATTATCAGAAGAAATAAAAACTATTAACAAAGGAGGGGAAATGACACATAAACACACAGCTTGTATAATCTGAACCTAAATCAAAACATTCTCACCAAAGATGGAGCTGCATAGTAAAACCACCAATCTTGTTTATATCGAAACATAATTACGTTTGTTGACAAGCGTTCAGCAGCTAAATGCACCATCATAAATTGTTACTGGGATGAATAATATAAAAGGAATGCTTTTTAATTTTCAAAACTGGCAATCTTTCTAGCTCAACATAAAATCAAGCACTGTTGCTTCTGACAGGAAAATAGCGAAGATTAATTATCTAAAGAGATCACAATATTGTTGCTAGGTTATCAATTGGTTGCTAATGCTTTACTGTCAGGACGACATTTATTACAGGAAAAGTATGATCAATTTCTTTTCAGATATTATGCAGCAGTGAATTCTTTTAAAACATTTTAAATAGATGGAAGGAAATGGTGATGTTGTCCTTATAATTCATACAATTAGAATTGTTTAATTATTTACTAGTCAGGAGAGAACAATTTGAATGCATGAACGCCTGTCTGCTGCTCCCTGTAGTCTAACATGATTCTAGGTGCAAAGACATGACATACAAGAACTCAGGAATCAGTTACATCTATCCAATTCTGCTTAATTTTAGTCTTCTAGATTAAAAAAGTTTTAGAAAAATAATGGCTCAATTAGAAACCAAAAGGGCTAATGCAAAGAAAGAAAGGATTTAGAAGTCTTTGGCCTTGGCAAGCCACAGACAGGTTCTGCGCTCATTCCCAGGCCCATAACCCTTGACATGAGGTTGGGATAGGGGCTGAAAACCAGAGCAGAATAAATGAAACGTATTTACTAACGTGCATGCTCTTTGACTCTTAGACAGAGGTATCTGGTAGTGGCATGAGGTTTTAAATAGTCCAAATTGAAAAGAGCCAGATCTTTCAGAAATGAAAATAAAAAAGTGATGTAAGTAAAACAGCGGTACATATTTACTATATATACATATATGTAGGTTTAAATATAATGAAAAAAAACATTGCTGTATACGTTTGAACGGATTGTTTCAAGCATAGGTATAGCCATGATGAGTGAGGTAAATAATACAGTGGACAGGAATAGACAAAGAACATGAAATCTGCAACAAAGCTTAGTAAGAAATAGGCATCTACTAGTTTTCCTTTCGTACTCAGTCCATAGTGTTTCTCTGTTATAGAATACATCTCTACTTTAAAAATTAGTTCAGTCAGTTAATTTTGCTTTGCTTTCAAATGGTTATAGTCATACAAAACTATAAATTGTGTATTAGATTGAAGAGGGAAATCTTGCCTCATGATCTCAAGAAAAATAAATGATTATAGTCACATTTATTTTTTAAAACTATATAAAAATTTTAAGCATTGTAAGGAAACCACAGAGACCTATTCTTTTTGTACAAAATTAATTCAGCAAGCATTTACTAGTATGCACTATGAACTTAGCATATGCTTTTATACAGGTGGTGAAAACAGAGGCCAGAGAAGAAGAAATGAAGACATGAAGAAAAAAAGGGGCATTCAGTTCTCAGTACAAAATAATTCAGAGTGGTGGTGATGGTGGCAGGGACAGCTCTATTAAACACTAGTAGAGATTAGATCATCGAGTCTGTGCACTTGAATGAAACACACACACGCACACCCTTTGTAGGATTTTCTTTAATGGAAAACCTATACTTTTGGATTCTACTCTTTGAATTTTTTTTTTTTTTTAAGATTTATTTATTTATTATGTATACAGTGTTCTGCCTGCAGGCCAGAAGAGGGCACCAGATCTCATTACAGACGGTTGTGAGCCACCATGTGGTTGCTGGGAACTGAACTCAGGACCTTGGGAAGAACAGCCAGTGTTCTTAACCTCTGAGCCATCTCCTACTCTTTGAATTCTAATTCTACCAGGACAATGCTACAACTCTCAAGTGTACAGAGCAGAAGCCATAAGAAACAGTTCCTGTCCACAGAAAGGTGAAGTAGTGTTCTTGAAGGCCAAGTGGCCGACTGTGGGAAAGTCCATTTCAAGTTCCCTTGCAAACTAGAGATCTTCTTCTATCCCACATGCAACTGTGCTTCTGGCTTTTCCTCTGAAATCACAGTAACAGCTGCTGCTTTATCCCAGTTAATGAAGTCAACAAATTCCAAACTTCCATTTTATATTCTTAGGATAGTCATGAGTTTACTTTTTCTGCTAGTATGTCGATGTGTCACATACATGCTAGTGCACATGTGTACTGGCCAGAAGTTCACCTTAGGTGCAGTTCCTCAGAAGAGTGCCCTTCTTCTCTTTTGTTGCTGGCCTGGAGCTCACTGATTGAGCTAGACTGGCTGCTGGTCAGAGCCCGGGGGAACCTACCTATCTCAGCCTCTGTAACACTGGGATCACAGGCACAAGCCTCCATGCACTGCTGTTAGGTCTGGGTGATGAAACTAAAGTTCTTCCTTATGCTCACACATTAAATCGTTTTTTACCAACTGAGCTCTTTCCTGGGCCCGCTTTCACATACTTTAGTCTACTCAGTTCTCTTTCCCAAAGCCTAGGATCATATTTACCTTCTCTAGAGTCTACACCAGACAACTGAGCTATGGTACAGGAGGACCTAAAAATATAAATGAAGAGACCATTCTAAAAGCAAGAAAATGGTGGAAATGTTCTCTCTCTCTCTCTCTCTCTCTCTCTCTCTCTCTCTCTCTCTCTCTCTCTCTCT